CATGCCTGTAGTCCCAGCTACTCGGGAGGCTGAGGCAGGAGGATCGCTTGAGCCCAGGAGTTGCAGGTTGCTGTGAGCGAGGCTGACGCCACGGCACTCTAGCCTAGCAACAGAGCAAGAAAAGAAAAGAAAGTCAAGGCAGAGAAGTAGACCTTGTGCTGTTAATAGAAAGTGAAATAATCGAGCAATGGCTACGTTTGATCCTAGGCTCGTCAGACCCAGTTCAGAAATAGGGGTGTCAGACGGCGTATCAGGGGTCTGTGATTACAGCCAATGGGAGCCGTCTTTGGTCACTCTAACCATTGGGGAATGTATTTGGAAGGCCAAGGGACATCTCATGACATGGCAGCGCATGGTCAAGAACTAGCCTTTGGAAAGAGCAGAGCTGGCCCGTCTCCAGGAGTCTAGTTGGAAGGAACAGGCTGGGGACTCACGGGGCACCACCGTCACCAATGAAACCACTTGGTCACTCTTCGTGTCACCGCGCTCTAGATTTCCTTTGTCGTAAAATCTCTTTACGTGGCCTCTCTCGGGTGACACGTCCACTCTGATCTCCAGAGCGAGAGGTGTCTTGGTTATTCTTCCCATGAAGAAGGTTCCACGGGGGAAGCATAGTTGCTCCAAGCAAAAGTCGGCCGTGCTGTCTGTTTAGCAGGAGAACGCACAGTCGGCCCGGCCGACACAGACGGCCCAGGTCCACTAGCTCCGTAAGCAGCTGTCATTGCCACCAGGTGGAAACGTTTGGAATAACTCCTGACACTCCTGTTGAAACCCTCGAGAGGCGACGGGTAGAACATTTGGGAGAGCTTGTCAGCTGGGAGGATTCCAGGGGACGGGGCCAGGACTCGAGAGCCCTCGTGAGCGGAGGACGCAGGGGGCAGCGTGTCTATACTCGGGGCTTTCTGGAAGGGCCCCAGGAGGGCACCCGGCTGGAGGAACGCGAACCCCCTGCCATCGATCGGCGCCTTAGCCTCGCAGTTCGTTCTCCGACTCTCGTCGGCGCGGTTGGGCTGAGGCTGTATTTTGTTCCCACCTCGTTCCAGAAACATCCAGATCGACAGTCCCTACGACATCAGCCGGGCCCCGGATGAGCTGCACTACACCTACCTGGACACGTTCGGCCGCCCCGTCATCGTGGCCTACAAGACAAACCTGGTGGAGCAGCACATTCAGGACATCGTGGTGGGTGGCCCGCGCCCCTCTGCCTTCCGCGCCTCGCGCCCCAGACCGCGGGGGGCTGTCCCTTCTCTCCCCGCTCCTGGGGCTGCGGGGGTTTGAGCGCATGGCGGCCTCGGAGGTGGGGTCGGGCAGCCCGGGGGTGGCCCAGGCTCCCAGGTGGGGTGTCCCGGCTGCCCCGCGGACGCCGGCCTTCCTGGTCTCCCCCGCAGGTCCACTACACGTTCAATAAGGTGCTCATGCTGCAGGAGCCCCTGCTCGTGGTGGCCGCCTTCTACATCCTCTTCTTCACCGTCATCGTCTACGTCCGGCTGGACTTCTCTATCACCAAGGTACCTTTCGGCTCCCTCCCGCTCTCGTGGGTCACCGGCGCCCTCCGTCGTGTGTGTCGCCGGCTCCTGCGCCGATCGCGTAGCGAGTCCAGGGCAGGACACTGTTGCCGGGAGACTCCTCCCAGCCTGTGGCTTCCGCCAGTCCTTCCTGGAAAGAGATGTTTGTGCCGCTTGTCATCCGCAGAACAGGGTGTTCGGTCCCTGCTTCCTGCTTTCTCTCGGCTCTGGAAAGACACTCGCTTGGAGTTAAGGTTGAGGCAGGAAAAACATAAAATGTTGGGTGCTTCCGGCCGGGCGCGGTGGCTCACGCCTGTAATCCCAGCATTCTGGGAGGCCGAGGCGGGAGGATCGTTTGAGGGTCAGGAGTTCGAGGCCAGCCTCAGTAAGAAAGGAGACCCCATGTCTACTAAAAATAGAAAAAAATTAGCAGGCATGGTGGCTCACACCTGTAATCCTAGCTACTCGGGAGGCTGAGGTGGGAGGATCACTCGATCGAGGTCAGGAGTTCGAGCCCAGCCTCAGCAAGAGCGAGACC